ATTCAGTCGTAGATAATGTGATGAGAAATTATCAGGTAAATTTACAATTAAATGTGCAGTTTTGAAATAGGTATCAGTAATTCACCATTGATATACATAACAAGAATAATCACGAGGGATAATCATAATAAACACGATAACGGTATTCTGTCAACAAACAACACACGGCGACCAACAATATACCTCATGGGCTATTTTACATTTTCTTTCCAGACTTTGACTCCATAATACTTTCTAAAACCTGGGTCCTGACACTTTCCTCGCCAAGGAATGTATAAACGTCAGGGTAGGTAAGGAAAACAGGGTTATGTATGAATCAAGGGCGTTCGACGACTGGTTTAATGGGTTAAATCGTCTTTCAAGAGTCTGGTAGATATGTTTATCTTTTTCTTTTCGTTTTGTGCGCTGCAATTCATCAAACTGATTTTTTTGTGTGTAGAGAATGAGGGTTAACTTAATACGAATTTACTGTAGACAGATCGTTGTGATAATCCTGCTGCTGTTAAGAAAAAAGTAATAACAGCAATAAAGATCATAACAAAAGTGCTAACAATATCATTAATAGCGAATGCAGTGTTATCAGAATGAACAAGAACAACAGTAGCAATAAAAAAATGACGCAGAAGCAATTATGATAATGGCCATAACAATATCAATAACAATGACAATGGTGGTAACAATAATAATAATAACGATAACAGTAATAACTATAATCTTAAGAATAGTGAAGCTTATAATGATATTTATGATAATAATGAAAATAATAATGATAATAATAATAATAACAAAAACAATAGCATTACCATTATTATCACCATTATCATCATTAGTATTTTTATTATTATTATTATCATTATTATTATTATTATTATTATTATTATTATTATTATTATTATTATTATTATTATTATTGTTTTATTATTGCCAATATTATTTTAGTACCATTACTATTATTATTATTATCATCATTATCACTATTATTATTATTAGTAGTAGTATCATTATCATTAATATTACCATCATTACCATTATTATCATTATTATTATTATTATTATTATTATTATTATTATTATTATTATTATTATTGTTATTATTATTACTATTACTATTATCATAATTATTATTATTATTATCATTATCATCATCATCACTATTATGATGATGATTATTATTATGATCATTATCAATATTATAACTATCATCATCATCATCGTCATTATCATTATCATCGCCATTACTATTAGCTTTATTATTACCATCACCATTATCATTATTACTAACAATGGTAATAATGATAATGATGTCAATAATAATAATAACAGTAATAATAATGATAATGATGATGATGATAAGAACAATGATAATAATAATAATAATAATAATGATATCGATAATAAAAAATAACAATATTAATACTAATACTAATAGTAATGATAATAATAATAACATTAACAATAATTGCAGAAGTAAAAAAAAAAAGTAAAAGTTATAATAATGATCAATAATGACGATGATGATTATGACGATGATAATAATGATAAAGTAATAGTAATAATTACGATGCTAATAATTATTATCAATTTTATTATAGTAATAATAATAATAATAATAATAATAATAATAATTACTATTATTATTATTATAATCATAATAATAATCATTATTATTTTTGTTATTATTATAATGATAATGGTAATAATTATAATAATAATAAGACGGACAATAAAAAATAACAATGATAATAACAAGAAAGTAATAATGATGATAATAATATTAATAGTAATAATAATAACAACGACAACAACAAGAACAATAATAATGATAACAATAATTTAAAAGATAATAAAATGACAATAATAACAATAATGATAAGGATAATGATGATGATGATGATGCTAATAGTGGTAGTAACAATAGTAATAATGATAATAACAATAGTAACAATGGTTATAATTATGATATTAATAATAAAGTAAAAAATAATAATAATGATAATAATAATAATAGTAACAACAACAACAATATCAACAACAACAGCAACAACAACAACAACAACAATAATAATAATAATAATAATGATAATAATAATATTAATGATAATAATAACAAAACAACAACAATTATAATAATAATGATAATAATAATAATAATGATAATAATAATATTAATGATAATAATAACAAAACAACAACAACAACAATAATAATAATAATAATGATAATAATAATAATAATGATAATGACAACAATACTAAATCTCTACAAACTACCTAAATTACTAAAAGAAACAACAGATTAATCGAATTCAATCATTAAGGTCTCTCACATATGAAACTTTTCGTCATATCTCCCAGTCAAATTTTCTTCTCACTCTTTTTGCTAAAGTTTTCTAAATCTTGACTGTCATTAACTGTAAGTTTCATCGTCAGACTCGTCATGTGTTTCGTCTTGTTTTGTCTGAATGTATCGCCATTTTTTCTAGAATGAAATAAATGATTTA